CTTATATTCCAAAATGACATAAAAGTGGTCCCACAGGGCAGAAACCGTTCTTCTTGCTTGAGGAAGCTCCATAAGTTTTGATGAATTTTATATTCGCAAAACACGCAAGATTGTTTTGGCAGATGCATCTCGTTGGCAGATGCGCTTCCTTATTAAGGCTTGTCAATCAGTTCGAAACATCTGTAAATCACGGAAAATCACGTGACCGAAACAGTTCCTGTATCGGTCACGTGATTTACCGTAGCGATACACACGTCGACACAGGTTTCGCTCTATGAGACCGACACATGCGCCGACGCATCGGTGTTGCCCGACCCATGACTAATAAGTAGGGTGTGGGAACTAAGTAGTCACTAGCTTTTTTCAATTAAAAAGGAAGATAGAGAAAATACTGTTGACAAAGGATAAAGTAAAAAAGCTCATAGGATGTTTTTTAAGTTCCATTTAATTCAATTCAATTCAGTTTATTTATACAGCACCAATTCACAACACGTCATCTCAAGGCACTTTAAAATTCAACCAGATCATACTCAGAGCATGCTTGTAGTGACAGTGGAGAGGAAAAGCTACCTTTGGGACCTTAAAAAGCTGTTTACACTTTCCCTAGAAGGAATATTGTCTTCAAAGCTAGCTCTGGCCAACTGCCACTTCTCCATGACACTGTGCTCTGTCTTCCCTGTTTTATTGTTTGCTGTAAACAAATATAAGTGAGAAAGAACACATAAAAATATCAAACAATAATGACGCCCCTTTTTGGTACTCCCAAACTTATAACTGGAAGGGAAGAGAAAGAGTATCAAGTAAATAAAGCACTTTGAGTCCTATCATAATAAACACACTTTTACGTTTTGTACAGCTATTAGGGACTTAATTTAGGAGCCTGTTGTAAAAACCAATGCTGACTTAACCATGTTGATCATTTACATTGGGATACTTTGATAGAAAAATTTCAGTGAACACTTTTTAAGTTTCTAAACATAAAAACACCTCAGAAATGTATTTCCCAAATGCTAAACAGGTTTATAGTGAGCTGTGATTCAGATGTCCTATACCTAAACTTGTATGTTTGTGCTTGCATAAGTTGTCTATTGACAATGTTTTCTCTAATCATTTTGAAACTCTTCCTTTGTCAGGGTGAGCCAGCACAGCAAGACTACGCTTATGACAGCTGACAACCTGTCCATTTGCTTCTGGCCCACTCTAATGCGCCCTGATTTTGAGAACAAGGACACACTGTCGACTACAAAGCTGAACCAGGCAGTCATTGAAACTTTCATCATGCAGAGTGACTATTTCTTCCATGGAGGTGAAATAGCAGAGAGCTCCAGCAGTGAGGGGACACCACCAGCACATTGCCACAACATGGTGGAGACGCTTCTCCCCCTGCAGCTGCCCCCACCTCTGCAACCACAACAGATACACATTGCACCCTGATCCCACTCACTAAAGACACAACTGGCCATTTTTGGACATTAGGAGTTATTATGTGCTTCCAGCTGCAATCTTCAGGAAATGCTGGCTGTCATAATTGGCTCTTTGAATTAGTGGCTGGTTGATATCAGCAAAATACCTTAATAACCATCAGTTTATATTTTTTTCTTCTACCACTGGTCATCTTCTTTCAACTATTGGTTATGCAATTCATGTCACATTTTGGAATGCATTGTTTAGATCTTATTTCACAGTGGCTGAATACAGTGATGAATTACCTGGTCTGAATGGGCACATAGGATTTTTTTGGAGTTAGACATAGTTTCATGGAACACCTAGAACCTTTTGGGGTAACAATTCAATTGTCTTCTTCTTGAGAAATTAGATCAGGATGTTTTTGCCATGCTCTGCTTAACAGCTCCTGAGCACAACTTAAAGGAAGTTAAACATTACAACTGCTACTCTAACCTCTAAACTCTGACACTGAAACACCGACCAAGGGGATTATAGTCTTCCTGCAAATTTTGGTACAGGTTATGTAAGCTTTGGTTACGGATGAGACTCAACATTAAAACTTAGAAACAGAATTTTTGAATGCCCTGCACCTTAAAAAAAACAACAAAAAACTCTGGGTTTTAACACTAAATGACTTGATAAAAAAATACATTTCCCACTACATAACCTTAAAGGACAGTCAATGTATGATTATATCAATAGTCCATGTAGTAAGTCCATGTCTATTTGCTTGTATTGTTGTTATTTTATATATTATGTAGCATCTGATTTATATCCATGTTGTGCGTCTGAGCGGGTGTTGTTATTATGATGCTGATGATATATCTGATATGTCATTTGTATTAATTTACCTGTGGTCTGTATTTCAACCTGTCTTTATCTTCTCATGAGACTAAATGGGGCACAAAAGGGAAATGAGATATAAACATACAGACATACAGGCTGATAGCAAACTGTACAGGAGTACCAGACTACAGAACATTATTGCCGAGTGGTTTCATTTCTGGTTAGATTCTTACTCTTTAGCGAAGACCACTCATGTCTTCTACATATTAGGTTAGACAAGCAGTGTCCCTGCCTACTCATTTCTTTCACTTTATGTGCTGTTTGTCTGAGAAACTGCATGTTTTCTTCTACCTAATTAAAAAAAGACATCTTCACAAAATTAACTGAAAAAACTAAAACATAAGCCTTTGCTAGGATCTGCAAGACTTTATCTGGCTTTTTAAGGGCAATATTTCAACTTAAGATGTTAATGTTTGAATTGTTTTTTGTTTATGGGAGAAATCAAGTCTTTATAAAAAAATTTTCTACATATAAAATGGGTTTTCCATGAATAAAGGAAAGAGGTATATATCTCTATATTAAAAAATCGAATTCTCTCAGCAGCACGACTTTCTGATGCAATGAATTACCGCAGTTAACTCCATTCTAATCTGTCGTGAACTCCAGGTATCTGTAGAAACACTATCATATTGTTCTGATAATTTGAATTTGAGCACACATTTGGGGTGAGGGGATTATAACTTTCCAAAATCTACATCCATATTCTTTTGATAACAGGATAAAACATTTATTATGGCGTATTTTCTCAATCTTTTGTCCATCTCAATAATAAATGTTGTTGCTGCTTAATAGATATATTACTTTATTATTTTACAACTTGAAAAATGTATCAAAAATCTGCTATTTTCATTTTTTTTTCTCTAACCTTTTCTGAAAACTTTGTAATTTTGTGGTACTTATTCTCACTTGGATCTACGTTTTAAAGGGAAGCTTCTAATTCAAAAATCACTAAGACTTTTTCTGTAAGAGTTTTCAGTATGGAGATTGTTATATAGAATATAGTTGCTCAGCAGAAGGTGAAAATGACTTTGAAAGAAAGCAATATATTTATTTTTTATGGCTCATTAGTTCTAAGTTTTATTTTTTTTTGGGGTGATTTTTTTAAATACATTTTCCTGCAACTTTTTAATTCTAAATAAGACAAATGGAAAAGTTTCACAGTTCTGGAGCCTCATGTATAAACCATATGAATTCAGAAAAAACATTGCGTTGAAATATTTCACTAACAACTGGGCATGCTTAAAAGATGTTTGATAATGTGTTGTAATTTACACCAACCTTTTACCTGCAGTGAAACCATGTGACAGTCGACACAAACTATGAGAGTACTAAAGCTCTCTGATATTCAATTAAATATGCAAACTCCAATCTGTTTTTATTGCAAGAAGCATAAAGCCTCATGTTTTTTTTCCATTAATTTGCGCTTTTATGGATTAAACCTTGAGAGATGAAACATCAATCATCACCAACATTAATCTCGTACAATATATTAATTTCGAAAAATGATCGAAGAAACCTTTGTCAAATGTAAACTTGCTCTAATTTTCATGTGTAGATTAAAATGCACATTCTGTGGGGTGCAGTGCATGTACAGTAAATAGGGCAGTAATATATCATTCTCACTGGTATGATATTGCAGACAAGCCTGGTACGATGATCCCTCAGGTGGAAAAGGTGTAGACAATCAGACACGCATCCTTATGTTACTGGACAAAGTTGCACGTGGCTTTCAAACTTCAGATGAATATGACTAAGGGAAAATTTCAGAGTAGCATGTTTTCTCTGATTGCACTGCTCTGCTGGTACTTAATTTGTTGCTTATCTGATTTAGAGGTGAGTTATTTTGGAACTCTGCTGATTCTAATGTAACAGAAAAAAATTTAAAGGAACCATGATTTGGCTGTGCTACTTCAGTTTTTCACTTTGGTTGAGGGCCTTCCAAGTGGAGCATTTGTTTAGAACCCAGTGGCCATGCTTATTTGGACATGCATGAGTTTTTCAGGTATCAGTGCCACTTTGTATATTTATTTGTTGGCTGCAACTGGATATCAAAGCCGTCCCTTTAGTTGTGCTAAATTTCGCGTAAATAAGGATGTACAAATAATTAGTTTGCAGTAATGTGATTACGTGGTTTGGATTTTACTACCTCTGCCATTTAGTGTGAAAGCTGTGCACTCATGAGACATGAGGCCTCTAAAGTACCAACTCTGATTCATGCTCATCTTTTTTGTCTGGTGATAATTGGAATAAAAATAATAATGCACAGCCCTGAAAATATTTAAGAATAAAAACAGCTTTATTTAGCATGTTATATTTTTTACATTTTAAATAAATAATTCTTAGATTTGCCTTTTTAAACCATCACCATGGTTTTTACATTGAAAGGTTATATATTTTTTTTCTTGATGAAACAATGGGGGTAAAATCGTTCTAATCATAACATGCAGTTCATAAAAATGAGCTATACACATATTTATCATTGTGGTAAGTCCTGCTTTTTTAAAAACAGTCCAGTGACATGCAGTTTCTGCTGCCTTTGGAACCTTTTAACTCTTACTAAAGAAAAGTAAATCACAGCACATATGTAAACATATTTTGTTGGAGATTTTTTTTAATCTAGTATGGTTTTTTGGGGGGTAAGGCATTATGTGTCTATTGGGCTTTGTTCCTTTTTTCCTGTCTGTATTGGTCAAGTATATACTGTCCTGATAGACATTGTGGAAACAGTGTTCAAAGATCTTCTGTCAGATGGGTTCCTGGTTAAATTATTTTTTATTGATAGTTTCTAAAAAGATTCTGAAATGTTTTTCTAAATAGTTTTCATGCCTTAATTTCTGCAGTACTGCCAACAATTTATATGGAAAAGACACAAAATAATAAGAGGGCAAACTGGGAAGGTGGAAGAAGGGGTAAAATGTATAAAAATATTTGGTTTTCTAATTTGGTATCAGACCTCTCATTAAAGGGAAAGAAAAAAGACAAAACCTTTCTCTACCATTACAAGTCTTACAAAAAGGATATTTGTGATGAGTTTCAAATTAGTCTCAGAAAAATGTAAACATTTTCTAAAATGTGATGCTAAATATGACTGTTATGTGTAATTTGCAGGACAGTAGCGGAAGAGATTAAATGATACGACAGAGTCCCCCTTAAGATTTGTTTTTTTAGGGGCCACCCCCAGCTGCTACATGCTATAAGGTAATACTGAGCTGCTCATCTTTAGTTTTCAAACAATAATTGAATGGTTTTTATTTACATATTGTTACTGTTTCCCTTTATCACCAGTGTACAAACTATTGATAGTCATTATAAAGGTTTTCAGGAATAAATAACATCTTAAACACTTCCTTGCAACTTTGTTTGTAGAAGTTTTTCTTAAAGGGGCACATAAACCGATATCAACATAGCTATAGAGATACGGTACTTAGGATAACCGAAGCCTCTTAACTATAAGCTTAATCAAAAAGGAAGAATTTTAGCCTAATCTTAAAAGTAGATAGGGTGTCTGCCTCATCAACCAAAACTAGTTGATCCCAAAGGAGAGGAACCTAATAACTAATATGTCCCTCATTCTACTTTTAGAAATTCTAGGAACAACTACAAGGGTATGAAGGGTAAAGTCAAAATAGAAGAAATATGATCTCTTTAATTTTCATCAGAAATCTCACTACAGTTTTGGATCAGCTGAAAAATTTTGAAATACATTTTTGTATTTGTTGCCTTGAAGGAACAAATGCATGACTAGTTTCTGGTAATCCTAAAGAAACTTACCCATTAGATAGCCCAAAGGGATGTCTTGAGGACATAAAAACCTGGATGATTTTAAATTCCCTGCTTTTAAATGAACACACCCCTTCTAAGTGGAGCATTTTTTAGTACTGTTGTCTTGCAGTAAGAACAGGGTAGGTTTGATTACTGACCCCATGCATGCGTGGGTTCTCACCGGCTTCTCCAAGTATGACTCCAAGGTTGATTGCGTCTCTAAATTTTAATTAGTTATGTGTCTGTGTGTTGCCCTGTGATTGAGTGGTGACCTGTCCAGGGTACACAATTAAGCCCATAGACTGCTGGATATAGGCACCATCCCCACTATGACCCATGAAAGATGGATAAATACACATAAAACAGAATATATTGTCTTTAGACCAGAATCTGAAAAATAAGCAGATTGGTCAATCGTCACATCTTGATGGCATAAATTGGTCAAGTAAATTGGTGTTTGTAGAATGTTTTTCTTTTATCTCCATAATATTGCAACATGAATAAATTATATTTCTATGTATCCTCACCATAACAGAGGAAATGAATCCCGTACTGTCTGTTAATTCTACTAATTGAAAGCGTAGACTTTAAAGCAGTGGTTTGAGCTTGTGCAGAATAATAAGCTCTATGATTCATAGGATGTGCAGTATGATTACATTCTGTTACAGATTACTTTCAACTGCAAGTAAAACTTGAAACATTCTGCTGAAGATACGTTTAGATTTAAGGATTTTAGCAGAAATATTTTGATCAAGCTTAAAATCAGCAGTTGACGAACTATGGCAAGAAATAGCTTTTCAGGAGGAACTGAGGTCATTTTGGCCTCTTTATCTTCTATCCTCTATATTAACAGATGAACTGTTAAAAATCTTTTTTGGCAATCATTTTAACCTGAAAACTAACAATATAAAGTAGATTTGAGCAGATATTTTTGGTTCCAAGCTTCAAATCAGAAGTTGAGGGACTATAGCCAAAATGCGCTTTTCAGATTGAGAGGAGCTCAATTTGGCTTCTCTACCTGAAACAGACATACCGATAACAATAAAGCCATGATCTTGTCTAGCAATCATTTTGAGCTGAAAACTAACAATATAAAGTAGATTTGAGCAGACATTTGTGGTTCCAAGCTTCAAATCAGAAGTTGAGGGACTATAGCAAAATGCGCTTTTCGGATTGAGAGGAGCTCAATTTGGCCTCTACACCTAAAACATACAAACCATTAATGAGAAAGCCATGATCTCTTTTGGCAATCATTTTAACCTGAAAACTAACAATATAAAGTATATTTGAGCAGATATTTTTGGTTCCAAGCTTCAAATCAGAAGTTGAGGCCGAAACGCACTTTTCACACTGAGAGGAGCTCAATTTGGCCTCCCTGGCTGAAACAGACAAACCGTTAATGATACAGCCATGATCTTTTCTGGCAATCATTTTGAGCTAAAACCTAACAATACAAAGTAGTTTTGAGCAGATGTTTTTGGTTCCAAGCTTCAAATCAGAAGTTGGGGGACTATAGCCACAATGCGCTTTTCGGATTGAGAGGAGCTCAATTTGGCTTCTACACCTGAAACACACAAACCAATAATGAGAAAGCCATGATCTCTTCTGGCAATCATTTTAACCTGAAAACTAACAATATAAAGTGTATCTGAGAAGATATTTTTGGTTCCAAGCTTCAAATCAGAAGTTGAGGCCAAAACGTGCGTTTCAGACTACGAGGAGCTGAAATTTGGCCTCTCTAGCTGGAACAGACAAACCATTAATGATACAGCCACGATCTTTTCTGGCAATCATCTAGAGCTAAAACTAACAATATAAAGTAGATTTGAGCAGATGTTTTTGGTTCCAAGCTTCAAATCAGAAGTTGAGGCCAAAATGCTATTTTCACAGTGAGATAAAGCTATTTTGGCCTGTGGAGTTATAACAGACAAACCATTAATGATACAGCCACGATCTTTTCTGGCAATCATCTAGAGCTGAAAACTAACAATATAAAGTAGATTTGAGCNAAGAGCCAAAGACCACATGTGGAGAGCTTCAGAAAGACCTGGAATTAGCACGTACAATTGTTTCGAAGAAAACATTAAGTAATGCACCGAACTACCATGGCATGTATATGCAAGACCCCAAAAACACCATATCAACAGGAAAGTGTCGAGGTGGGAAGATCATGGCGTGGGGCTGTTTTTCAGCAGTGTTATTTTCCCTATTTGTGTGACTCATATGGTTGGATCACATCCTTCACATCGCCAACCGTGAATTCACTCCTGATCGTGCCTTTACACACTGATAAAATATGAATCCCTGAGTTTTTTTAAATTCAGTGTGAAAGCAACTTTAGAAATCCAGCTGTTCTGTGAAGGTCCCTGAATACTGTTACAGAACACTGGTTAAAGGTCTAGATGTTCTTAGAAGGGTTAAGTTATAAAAGAAGATCCTAAACTTAAAGAAATCTCATAATGCAATGCTTTTACCATTGTCTGATTCCCCTCAAACAAAACTCCCTTATCACAGTAAAACAAGGAGGTAGCAGTGTCATGTAGTGGGGGCAAATTTTTCATTTTGTGATCAAACTCTCCCTCTGGCTTTACTCCCACAGCATCTAGGGGAGTATTTTAGGAATTAAATACAAAAAACCCAACCTGATGAATAGGGACATAAATACTTCTGCAGTATCTACTTCTAAATGAGAAGAACAAGTACCTTCTTCTTCTTTTTGACTTCTGCCTCAGATTCAGAGTCAGATTCAGACTCTGACTGGCTGCTCTCAGATTCACTCTCCTCTTGTTCTTCTGATTCAGACTCGGATTCGCTCTGCCGCTGTTTACCCTTCCTCTCACGCTTCCTGTCTTCCTCTTCGCTGCTCTGCTCACTGAAAGTAGGAAGGAGTTATTTATTACATGAAAGAGAGACATATTTCACGTTAAAGTGAAATGACAGCGGTGAACAGCTAGGCTTTATCACAAATTACAGAAAAAAAGTAACTACCTTTCACTCTCATGCATTGGTTTCTTTAACTCTCTCTTCTTAGGTTTCTTTTCCTCCTCATCCTCCTCCTCTTCCTCCTCAGACATAGAGGCTTCATCGCTCTCTTCGCTCTCTGAACCCGACCTGCTCTCCTCACTGCCGCTCTCTGAGCCGCTGCCAGAGTCTGACTCTGGAGAGGAAAGATGGAAAAAAATTTATTTAACAGGCGCTTTTTAATTTTTCTTCCTGACAAACCCCACAGAAATTCAAAAGGGTGACTTTTAACAGAGCATTTCCTGATCTTTGTCATCATCAAAGCTTTTTTTGCCCAGTGAGGTTTATCAAGGTTTCATGATCTTTTGAGTTTTTGATGCGTCAAGCATATTTTTGGGAACAAGTCCTTCATACTAACGATCAATGGAATTTACCAGCTTCCCTGTCTCTAAAATGTTGTATTAGACTCACATGGAGAGAACCTAAGCAACTTGTTAAAGAATAAAGTTTAGAGATGGATGTAGAGCTGCTTCAAAATTGACACTTTTAAGAGCAAATTAAGAGGATGAATATCAAAGATCAGTCCACAAACAAAGCACCTGATGTTGACTCAGGTAGTGGAGGTTTTATCATGGTATGGGCATCTTGTTGTCAAACCTCCAGCTTTATCACACATAATTCCACATATCAGGTTCCACATGCTGCCTTAAATTCAAGAAAACGCCATGCTTTAAAAAGGTTGGCCATGTGATATTTCCCTGTGTGAGTTTATTGAATGAGTTTGATTAAAATGTTTTCTTCGTTTACCCGATTGGCTGGACGAGATTTAAAAGGATTACACGCCACCCACACAAGAAGAGAAGGAGTCAAGAAGAGCATTTGCTGTTGCCATGCCTCTCAGCCTTGCTCCAGATGCTTTTTTATTAGATGCTATCTTTTGCGCCAAAAAGCCACATTTCATCGGACCGTTTGGTCTGGCTGTCTTTGGACGCACTGGGCTATTTTGCCTGTTTCCCTTTTGTGTCCAGACTTGGGGTTTAGTAAACCTTTTGTTCAAAATGTAATCTGCTCTGAACATTATATGTTGGGTATCCTATGTGACGACATAAGGACTGTAATATTTTGGGGGGCTGTCCGGGATCTGGACCCCGGACCTCTCACACACTTACTCGCCACACTTTTATTTCTGTGTAAGATTGTGAGAATGTCAGGTTATAAAGCACTAGATGGTATAGAAACTGCACTTTTAAAGGTGTTTAACAATCTGTTTTAATTAATAAATATATATTAATTCATTAAACACAGATCAGGGGGCCCCAGGTTTTTTGTGGTTGGCCCCAGACCCTGGAATACTTTGCCCTGTAGCATCCAAATAGCCCTGAAAATAAAATATTTTGAATCTCATATCAATAACTACTTTTACTCTTTGGCTTTTAACACACCATTTACTGTGTGATCCTCCATGTACATTTACTTTTACCTATTTACTGTAGAGCATTTATGAGCTGTACTATGCAGCATTAACATAACATGAAGATCTATGTTTAAATCACTCTATAAAAAATTTATTGATTTGGTTTTCCTTTTCAAACATTTGGTCTATCAAAACCTATGCTTTAGTGCACATTTAGAGTGATACACAGGTATAAGGAGTGCATTAAAAAATGTTTGCATATTTTTCTTAAATGACTGCTCAAAAATTCTGTTCTTGGTTTTCATCCCGATGAGATAAATACTTGTAGGACAGTGTTTTTGCTGGAGTAACAGCTGGGGTTATAAGCTAGATCTCTGCCAGCTCTTCCATCTACAGTTATATTTCCCAGTTTCTATGTCTATGTAACAAGAATTCCAATGTTTTATGTCAGTGGTTGAGGATGGAGAGGATTTAGATATTAATGTGTTTAAAACGGTACAACCCTATTGTAGTACAACGTCTTTGTCCTGCTAGAACAGGAGACCCCCTCCCCTCAGGTCCATAGATTCCTATTCTCTGCTGGAGAAAGGCCTCAAACGTTATGTTTAACGGTAGAAAATTGTGTCTAAAATCAGCCCATCTCATACATTCCAGGATTAGGTTGACAAAGCTCCATGTTACCACTATCAGCTGACTCTGTTGGCCCAGACTCGCCATCAGAGTCGGAGTAGAACGGCTTCTCAACTTTCTTCTCCTTCCTTTTCTCCCGGCTGCTGCATTTGGTCCATTCAGGCACCTGATGGATATAAACAGGTCACAGTGAGCTTTTAATTCTGCTACAGTGGGGAGAAAAGCAAAACAAAATATATTCTCTCAGCATAAAGCACAAACGTGGGCAGGTATGGTAGCATGGCCATGAATGCCTCTGCCTGGGCATGATGCAGCCAAACAAAGCCATCCATTGCTGCTGCAGATTTGCTTTTAATCTCTCAACGAGAGAACAAAAAGACAAAAGAAAATCTATTCAGATGCTTCTTTGCACAGAATGAGATGAGCACCAGGTGTTGCCTTCATGACCATTTGCATAAATGGTTTCCTTCAAAACAGGGAGCTGTTCCATTAGCAGAAGTGATGTCTTTGAGGAACAATGGCTCATCCTCCCACACTTTCCTATTTCTGTGACCAGGCTCATTAACCAGAGCTGTCTGGAAATGAGCATGGACGTCTTCTTGTTCCATTCAAAAAAATCTCTATACTTTAAATGATTGTCGAAATGTCTCAGGAGCTCACGTCCTGCTGAAAGAATCACTTCTGTAATGGATAGGACAGAGGAGGGGGTATTCAGGTGCTTTGGCTCTGCTAAGCACTGGACAGCAACTACATAAGGCAGGGTGTTTAAAAGCACTCGAGGTTTGGTTCTCGCTGCTATGTGGGTTTGGGGCTGAGGGACTTGTGGCTCTTCGCCGCTAACTGACTCACGCTCGTCAATGTTGTGACTCTTTCGAGCAGCGCAAAAACCTGGCAGATGTAGGACAGAAAAAAAAAGAGTAGGGATGGAGATGAGGAAGAAGGAAGGAATATAGAGAAAGAGGCACAGGAAGGCTTCAAGGGGAAAGTAAACCTCAAATTTAATCACTGCACAGAAAATTATTACAGTATCAAACTAATATGGTAAAACTGTAATCATGAACACTCCCATATAACTTTATATGAACGCTTTAGAACCACCTTTCACATGTCTGACATTTGGAGTAAACTTTCTTGAAAAAGAACATTTCATGGTTCACATAAGAACTCACACAGACCACAGGTACCCCTGCTAAAGATGTGCAATAGTACTTAAAGTGTAACTAAACCTGATGTAAAGCTCCCACACAAATTTAGAAAATCAAAGTTCAAAGTGAAGACACTTAGGGGCGGGTCTGAGTGTGTTCTACCAATTTTTAGAAATCTCCCATGTATCAACTCACCTCAGCTGCAACAATTTGTTCAAATGAAATTGAAATTTAGTTTAAACAAAAACGTAACTTTTTTAGAGGATTCAAGTATCTATAATCTGTTTTATAGATGACTTTTGCTTTACTGAAGTCTACTGTAGATGTGAGCAAACACACAGACCTGCCTCTTTTCATCACTACCCAAAATGAGAAAGACAAGAAAACACTTAATTTATGTAAGACCAGTGACTGAATCAGGAAAAGCCTAAAAGGCTGGGAAATGACCCCACCTTCATCTTCCCTCCACTCAAAGAGAGAGCAGAATGTAAAGAGATTTAAACAAATATCTTATCAAGCCTGAACATTCATAAAAAATATATTTTTGGTCATCAAGTCTCCATAATTGTTTATTCATGTACATGTCAACCAGCTGATATTAATTGCTGCCAGGAAAAACAATGTCCGTCCTTATAATTATGAAGGTAATTTGCTAAATTCTGCTGGAACTTTAACAGGAACCCTGCACTTTGTTTTGAAGGGACTAACTGTTTACAACACTCTATGAAAATTTGAAAATGACCCACATGTAGCCCACACTGGTAGGTAAGGTGGGGGTTAATTAGACAGTGGGCCAGGTTCTCTTCCAAAGAACTTAAGATGCTTCCAACAGTTTGAGGCATTTAATAATTTAAAATCCAATTATACTGGATAAGGAATAATGGTCCACAGATAAACACATATATAGTCCAAATTCAACTTTAGCTCAAAGTCGTTTTACTTCCCAGGCTGAAGAGAGGAGACCGCATGATAGAAACCAGGACTCTGGTTAATCTGAAAAGGTAGCAATAAAATAGATAATCATCTGGCCTGTTTGCTCTCCCTTAATTGGTTATTCCTTTCACCTGCCGTTTTCCCTCCCTGCCGCATCATTTATTCCTCTCACCTGTTTCCTTTGGTTTGTATTCTCTTCAGGGAGGGTCAGTTTTTTTCCCATTAAGCCTGGCTTTAGGGAGGAGACCAGTTTAAAGGTCCTGCTCAAGTTCTGGTTCCACGTCCTGTCTCTGCTACCCTCTACCACTGAGTCTGCCTGTCTGCACCTGATCCTGTCTGCTCCTTTGTGTGACCACCTGGTCACGCTTCTGGACCCTGAGCAGATGTTTTTGGTTCCAAGCTTCAAATCAGAAGTTGAGGCCAAAATGCTCTTTTCACAGTGAGATAAAGCTATTTTGGCCTGTGGAGTT